AGCAATTTCCAAACGATGGAGAATATATTACATCAAAGGAAGTGGTAAGATTTTTATTTTTATTTAAGTTTATGAATAATGAGCTCCAAAACATCTAGTTGCCACCATTGCCGAGGTTCAACAAGATAAACCGGAGCCACCACCAGTTTGTAGTGACGACCCAAACAGTCCTCAAGGTCGTTTGATGTTGAGATTTGAAAGATTTTCTTTGCTGTTGAAAACCGCCAGTAGCCAACAAGAATCGGAAGACGTTATCAAGAGAATTGACGAATTATACAATGAGCTTGTAAGTAAGTCATCTGTGGAGTTAGCCCTTCCTCCAGCAACTGTTATTTCTCAGAAGGGCCGACCAAAGAGCACCAAGAGAGAAAAGTTGGGAATAGAACATGAAGACCATGCCATCAAACAAGAGTCTAAGAAACGGAAGGCTGATGAAATTCTTGACCTACCAAAGAATAAACAACCTAAAAAGCAAGAAAAAAAAACAAAGACTAAACCAAGTGTGGCAACCAGCCTCTTGAAAAACGTCACCGTGAAGTAAGTTTGTTCTATTACAACAACAAAAAAATATCTTAAGATTAACCGGCTGCTGTCATAAAAGATACAACAACACGCATATAGATACCGTTGATAGTAATCCTGGTTTGCTCCAACAGTTACATCCATTGGACGCTGACCAGGCTTTAGCTCTTGTCAATCCCCAAGGTGATGGCAACTGCGGGTTCAGAGCAGTGAGCCTTGCATTGTTCGGCCATGAAGAGGGTTGGGTACAGGTAAAAAAATCAATGCTCAATACTCTCCGTTCCTACCACAGCGTTTATACAACTATCGAGCTGGATATCAAGTATTTCGAAACGAAATTGAATACGAACAAGTCTCCGTGTCTCGATTCTGAGGATCATTTCATGTGGTTTGATACTATTGGTTGCCCACAACTCGTCGCAGACACATTTAAACGACCAGTGGTGCTCTTAAGCTCATCACCTAGGATCTTTAAGAAAACTGGTATTGAATATGACGATGAAGGAAATGTTGTATACAACAAGTCGAGACAAACTTTTGTTCCTTTTTTCGAGTTAGACACTCAACATTTGACTAACCCGATCATCATCTTCTTGAGTAATTCCCACTTTTATCTTTTAGAACGCAAAAGCAACATCAAAAACAACAAGCCAATTGCCTATGAGCATTGGCCCGACATTAGTCCCGTTCACAAAAAAGCTATGACAGTTCACAGGGATATCTGTACAAGCGATTTTTCTGATTTTTATCAAAATATTTAACTTTTTTTTTTCTCTTTTCCATCATTTTATAACTCAAATATATATTATCCTTCCTAAAAACCATTATTTGTTTTCTTCGTTCTACCATGTTTACTAATATTATTTATCCCTGTACTCACTAATAGACGATGTCCGTGTCCTCAAAAAACGGTGCCCTTCAAAAAACGTTGTCCGTAAAAAAAAAACGGTGTCCGTAAAAAAAAAAACGGTGTCCGTAAAAAAAAACGGTGTCCCTGAAAATATTTTACAGTGAAAAAAAAAAAAAAAAAAAAAAAAGTCCGGCCCGGAAAAAAAAACGGTGTCCCTAATTATTTTTACACCAAAAAAAACGGTGTCCGTATAATTACCCATTTTTTATAAGATAAAGGCGGCGAGCAAGAAAATTTTGACAATAGTTCTCCCTTGTTTTTGTAATTTCATTGCTTGAAATCCACACTATTTTCATCTTAGCTATCACTATTTTTTTTTTATTTAAAAAAAAAAAAAAAAAAAAAAAGATTATTACACATGATGATCTTCATAAAAGGTTATTTTTGTTACCTATTCAGACAAGGCATTACGTCAGCTATACTGGGCAGGAGCTATACCATATAACAAACAGATTACAAATGACATTGAGCACTATTCATTCTTGACACTTTTACACAAGAGGCATGCACCTGGTAGATGGGACAAGGACGTTTTCTTTTTTCTTTTTTTTTGGTGACCGAAATTATTTTGGCAATAGTTCTCCCTCAATTTTTACAAGTGGATAGGCCGTGAGAAAAATTTGACAATAACTCTCCCTTGTTTTTTTGTATGATATAGACAGCAAGCAAGAAAAATTTGGCAATAGTTCTCCCTTGTTTTTTGTATAGTCAATGGCTGGAATACACTCTATTTTCATCTTGGCTGTCACTATATTTTTTTTTAAAAAAAAAAATGATGAATACAATGGATGGGTATGATTTTTTTTTTTTTTTTTTTTTTTTTTACCTGTGCACAAGTATAATGACCCAGATTATTCTCCCTTGTTTTTTTATATGTTTTTACGGCAGCACGTACACGAGATCGCATTATACCAGTAGTTCATTAAAGCCATAAGTATCAATGCATATTCCTTCTATTTTTTTTTTTTTTTGTTGGGGCAAGAATATTAGATCAGAGTACATTATTTATTGTTCTTCCTTATTACCTACAGGTTGAACAACCTCTTGGCAAACATCTTGTTCTTGTTTATTATATCCAAACACTGGCGCACATCAAGACAATGACTCTACAAGAAAAAAGAGTGAGTTTTAAATAAATAAAGATGACGATGGGTCTTGTGAATTACCCATACAAGTAAGAAAGAAACCAGTAAAGATTGACAGTTATTCCATTTTTTTTTCTTGTACGCAAGTAATGACCAGTGGATGTAAGTAGTACTATAACCATTTGTTACGAGACATAAAGTCATTTTACTTGTCTTTGTAGTGATGCTCGCCAATTAAAAAAGAGATTCCTCCTGGTCTACTTTTTAAATGTTAAAGTTTAGAGTCATACATCAAGAGAATGCAGCAATAGTTCTTCTTCTTGCCAGAGTAAGAAGATACATACACTTAAGCACAGAGGAAGCCATAGTCTATTCAGTGCACATTATACTTGTTTTTAAAAATGCTTAAGAAAGATTTTTCTCCAAGGTATGAATTCAATAATGTATGGATGAGACAGCACAGAGAAAAAAAGGTAGTGTTTCCCTTTCTTGCGCTTGGAGACTACACGCAGTGGTATTCTTGTACAGTAGTGATGAAAGAGGTCCTTGTTTAGTAGATGGATGAGAAAAAGAACAAAGAAATAAGAGTCCCTTTTCTTGGGTGTCATGATTAAAACAATGAAATGGGTGTTCCTTGGCAGCTTTACTTTCTTGCTATGGAGGAATGGCTATGGACAGTGTTGATTAAAAACCAGTTCAAACGTGTCTTTTTTAATTTATTTTTGTTACCTGTACGTTTTCTTTGAACTAGATTTTACACCATGGTGACATCAGACCTTATAATTAACGACACAGACTAAAAAAAGACGCGTCTCATCAGTACACCACTCCTTCACACATAAAGCTGTTCTTTTATACTATACCTGGCAGTACAACGGGTGTAGATAGTCATCATAAAGGATACGTAAAGACTTGAATAATGTTGCAGAGGAAAAAAAGAATAAAAAAAAGGGGGGACAAATGACGTATGCGGAGATTTTGTGGGCGTGTAATCTGGAGGGTGTAATTTTTCGGTAAATTATTTCCCCGCAGGGTGTAATATCAAAAAAACCATCCCCCGGAGGGTGTAAGAAAAGCTACAATGTACTTCGCGAAATTTTTTTTTTTTTTTTTGTCTTGCCCCTTTTTCACTAATTACTATTATTATGACAACAACATCACTAAAAACGACGTTTAAAGCAAATTTTCCCGAGGAGTTTTGGAAGAGACTTGGTATGCTCATTATAACGAGTCTACCGAAAGCTTTGAGAATTTTTACCTTGACATTGGTTGGTCATTGACGAAAGCGAATTCTTATAAACCCAACAAAAATAAAAGTCCCGAATGTTTGAATCCTACAGAACATAAAAACGATCGTCGTATCTTTAAGTCTTGCACAGGTGCTACCAAGTGCCCTAAAAGTAGCTGCCCTTTTTACCAAAAGGCTACTCAACATCCTGTCAAAATTGCCTCTATTAAGGACAGCAACTGTCAACATTGCGGAACTGCCATGTCTTGGATTCAATGCAAAGTAACTGTAGAGTATATGTTCAGTTTCAACGAAAGCGCCCGTACAATGACACATATTAGCAACAAAGACAAGACAGTAAAACATACTCACGGTATTTATAACTTAAAGCATCTTTCAGCAACCGAAAAATGTAAAGTCGATGCTTTTGTTCAACAAAATCCACTGATGACACCAACAGCCGCAGTGTTTGGTGGCGAAAATAGCAGTGAGGCCACTGAGTTCATTAGAAAAATCAATCCAATTCTCGGAAACAAACACCGTGTAAAGAGAGAATTAAAAGAATCAAGACATCGACAAGGCTTTGCTGACAAAATCAACAATGACTTTTTGGCCGATTTTGTTAAAATTGAGGAAGACTTTACAGGACATATCGATCATGCTCAGATTGTTGATTCTAAGTTTTGCATCACATTTTCTCATCCTGCAATGAATTTGCTTCCCTTACCTTTTCATAAGTATTCTATCATTACTGACGTTACATTTAAAGCTGTATCGACCGGATTTTATCTGGTGTTATATGTCGTTTATTTGGAAGAGATGAGAAAACATGTTGTAATTTTTCCAGCTATAATTAAGAATCAAACGGCCGAGCAATTTGCTTTTTATTTTGAGGCCTTACTTAAGAAATTTGCCATCCAGCAGAAGTTTTTCTTCGGTATGATTATGGATTTCTCTTTGGCAGAACGCCAAGGTTTCCAAAAGGCCTACCAAAAATACTTTGGTATGAACGAGAATGAGTCTCTTGGACATATTAAAGGTTGCTGCTTTCATTAGATGCAGTCAGTCCAAGGTATTGTTAAAATGCAGAAAATTGTTTCCCCTGAAAATGCCAAGACGTTTATTGCATTGACTTACAAACTCCAAAAGACGACAAAACAATGGCTTGTTCCTTGAGACAGCAAATCTCATTCTTGAAAAATTCCCTGACAGCAGAGCATGGCTTCAGTGGTGACTTGAAAAGAGCGTTTCATCAATGATCTTCAATGCCAAATCAATGATGAAAAAGGATTTTCGTAGACACGAATTACGTATATCGAATGGAATCGAATCGTACCACCAAAACTTGTATAGGTTCATCACTAAAGGATCCCATTTAAGTCAAGCTTTGCGTGAAATTATTAAGGTATCATGGATCTACAGCGATGAAATGTTAGGCTATTACAATGATGGTGTTAAGCCAAACTATGGGTCCAAAAAGCGATCAGCCACCTCAAAAAAATTGAATAAAAGCTTTTATGAACTTAGTGATAGTAGAGCTCCGGATACCTTGAATGCAATCTACCGTACGCAATCGTCAAGCTCCAAGAAAAAGAAGGTTGTTGAAAAGGCGTCTTCTGTTAATCAAGGAACGAACTTTTACAATGTATTTGGAGTTGTTAAGGACAGTAAAGTTATTGACAAACACGACGATGAAATGAAAAAAAAAAAAAAAAAAAAAAAACATTGCGTCCTTCCTTGCAGATTACGACATCGCTGACACTGATGAATACATTCAAGTTGACGAAACTACAGTTGATTTGGAAGACATGATTTTTACTGGAACGATGGAAAAAGAAGTGAAGGAGAAGGTGTTCAATGGGTTCATTGTTAATGATCCCAGTCAAGATATCATGGGGGGAGAAGATTATGTTGATACGAATGACATTAGTGACAACGAGTCTGTAAAGTCTGTCGAATCCGTAGATTCGGTAAAACTATTCGAAGAGCTTTATGCTGAAGGTTATGTTTCTGAAAGCGATGTTATTTTAATGAGAACACACGGAAAATCCGTGGACTTCGCAATTCAGAACTTGAAGCAATTGTAAAGGATAGGCCAGCAATGAAGAAAACTACTCTGGCTAAACCAGCTCAAAGATAAACAGCTGTTGGCCGTTAGGACGTACCAAGACTTTACAAGAAAGTATGATGAAGGTGGCCGTACCAGACCAAACAGAACAAAACAGCCTTTACACTTTTACAGTCACATAAGCATCAACACAAACAACTCCTGTTTCATCGATGCCACGTTTGAGCTTCTTTGGAACAGTGTATTCCCTGCCATCGACTTCTCTGGCTTGGATTTTGAGTCGGATGACATTTTTGATCAGGTACTTATCAGCAGTTATCAAAAGTAGATTGAACCACAGTCCACAGACGTTTTGGACACTAAGCATTGCTTAACTCGAGAGTCCTCGTCGATGGCTAGAGAGTTTATCCGGGCCATTCCAAAGACTAAAGGAACTGGATTTCAGTACCCTCGGGGTGAATAATGTGATTGCCTGGAGGTTCTTAATCTGTTGATGACAAGATCTTCTCCAGAATTTCAAGAGAAGGTGTCAAACTTTCCAAGAGGTTTGACATTGAGGTCCCATATTTGTTCTGTGAACCCAAACCATGGCTTTGTAGACCCTGAATGTGAGTTCTCGCTTTGTTTGATATAGGTTTAGAGATGCGTTCTTGGATTCCTGCAAAAAAAAAAAAAAAAGTGTGTATATAAAGTGTAACGACAACAACAACGTATAAATAAAAAAATCACATTTAATCATATTGCCCTGGATTTTCGCACTTTTTCATTCTTTTACTTTTCAATAATACTATTGGGATTTTGCTTATGGTGTAAGACATATGTGGTTTTTTTTTAAAAAAAAAAGGGGGGGAGGGACATCTTTTGTAAAGTTATCCATGACATTGTTACTGCCGATGGATGAATGAATTTAAAAGCCATATTGAGCTTGAACTAAATTTCGATGAATTTAAATCGGAATTGCCTTTCTTTTATAAAAAAATGTTACAAAATGTTATATAAGGTATAAAAAGGGCCTAGAAATATGGATGTCAAAATTTGGTTATAATTCATTCGGTTTTTGGTTGTAAAAATAAAATGTACTTAAAAAGATGTGATATACTAAAATTAAAGATAGATCAGAATAAGAACATTTGTGGGCTCAATAAATAAGGTTTTACGATTTTGCACGACCTCAGAAAAATGTGTGCAAAGATGATGTATAAAAATAGTTTTACTGTAAGAACATAAGCCTCCAATCTTGATCGGAATGTTGTACTAAATCTTAGAAATAGCTTGTTTCAACTGTGGACGGTCGGGCAGCTTACTATTAAGGCTTTTTCTTAAAAAATTTTTTTGACCCGGAACTCATATTCGTGAGATAACTGTATCATGTAAATTTTGGGCGAGAGTTTTCCAACTGCTTTGTTGATGGGTTGATGGAATATTATTATTCTTATAATGGGATTATGCGTAGCCTTTTTAATAAGTAGATTATTCCGCAAGTTCATTTTCGATATTTTACATTTAAGGAAGGTAGTTTTTCCGTTACAAATAAAATGTGGCCCTCACATTGTTGCACAACCATATTTCATATACAGTTTCTAAATTAGTTATCCTTCATAAAATCGGAGACTCTTATCAAAAACAGAAGGAAGAGAATAATTGTATTGATGAATTAATACTTTCAGGTATTCACTGAACCATGTTCATACTTATATAATTATAGGATTGGAAAACAAGAGGCTAATTTAATCTAAAAATGCTTCTTTGGTACATGGGACAAAATTTATTTTTCGTGTCAAATATACTTGTGTGAAACTAGTTGTCAGTTTCATGATGATTTTTTTTTCAAAATTCCCATTAAGACTATCTATAATAAACGTGCTGTTGTAAATTTATATGTAAAAATAATAACGTGTCATAATGGTACGTGTATCTAAATGGACGTTCATAACATTTTAACAATCTGTTGTTTGGTTTGTATTTCTCGGGTAGGTAGTACATTAGACATGTCGAATTGTTGTATTAGTGCTACACCCTATTGCCTGTATTTGTTTTTGTTTAAAAGCAAAACGAGTGGTAAGAATAGGTTCTGTCAAATACGGTTTTATTAAATTTTAAATAAAGTCATAATGACAGAGATCCATTCATATTAAAGCATATGATAATTATAAGGTAGCTGAAATGGATTCGATACAATTCTGGAACCTATATTTATAGATGATGACCAATATAGTATTTTTGGCAATAACTTTAAAGAAAAAAAAAATCGGCATGCTAGCAATCTCGAGTATATCTCGGAGCCTTATTCACTAAATGCAGCGTTAATTATTGTGCGGCCATCACCAGCATTTTGGTGCCAGGTCTTTTTTATATTTCTCTTCTTTTAGCAATTACCGATATTGAATATTTAGACATGAAAATACAAAATAAGAAATATGATTGTGCTTTATATCTTCTTTATTTAAAGTCAGCGAAAATTACAAATAAAATTAAACTAATACTATCATATAATAATTGATTTTCTTTGAAGCGAGGTAAATTGGGAAGGGAGGGTGGGGGAATCATATTTCTTATTTTGTATTTTCATGTCTAAATATTCAATTCAAGTGTCGAATAAATTCTACTAGAATTGCTTGAGACACTCAAATCCAAAATAAGAAATATGATTGTGCTAATCCAGAGAATCCATGAAAGAATCAGAAGCATCCATAAATATATCCTCATCCGATTCCATCTCGATATCCTTGTCATTAATAAGCGTGTTGGTGAAATCGAATTCCGAAAGCTGTTCCCGCCTGTAGTGGTTCTCAAATGTCGATGACGATGCCCAGTTACCCATGGTGACTATATCTTCTTTCGGAATACCAGATTGTAGCGCCAGAGAAGAAGCAACCGATCGTACCGACACCCGTTTCTCCTTGGTAGACTTGTGAAGAAGTCTTGACATCCATGCTTGAATTGTTCGGATCTTGATAGGCCGGTCTGGTTGAATTGAATTAATGAACACCGACACTGCCTCGCAAGATGGTCTTCTCTCCCGAAATGCTTTGAATGTTTTGATGGGACAAAGATTTGAATTCACATGAGCTTTGACGGAAAATGACTTGATAATTGAGCGCCTGTCCCTTTTTTCTTTCGGCTTATGTACCTCAAACGACAACAACAAATCGTTACTCGACAAAACCATTGAAGACCAAGGGATACGATATAAGTCTGAAGGCCGGAAGAAAACACGTCACCCCCAATAGGAATGCCAACTTGCTTTGTAAAGTAGCCAACGATATATTTGTAGCAGATAATGACCCTAAATATGTGAAGGTAGGCTGCAAACTAATAGTGGGTCTATGCAATCTTACCGCCGGTGCTTGGTTGAGTAAAGCAGTAATAAACGCATTGAATCTCCTCATTCTTCCGTAGCAACATGGGATCCTTATGCAACTGAGTGACTGAAGCCCGCAATAGTTGTATCGTTGTAGCAGCGTATGACTTATCAGCGTGCATATCACTTAAAAAATTTATCAAATCTTCAGTGATTAAATTTATCTGGTTCGACTCTGTGATTCTTTGCCCATTCCAAAAATAGAAGTTGACCTCTTCTGTAGGAGCGATTGGTGGCATTATCCTCTAGACGTCTACTGATCAGTATTTGCTGGGCATTTTCGTTTAAGCTTGTATGCCTGTACTTGTTGCTGATAAGCTCCATACGGCTAGTTTCCAGTTGCTGTTGGTCATCGGCCATATTGCTGTTGGTGTTGGTAGGTGAACCACCGCTTGATCCAATAGAAGTGGTGGACCAATACTGAGCGCCTGGATCGTTGGAAACCAGATTGCTGTTGGCCACCAAGGTGTAACCATCGTTGCTTGCTGTACCTGCTCTTGTACCAACTTCTGAAGACACCTGTTGATTAGATTCCATGGTGGATTCAAATACGGTCGGTAGAATTGGCTCCACGGAATGGTAAACGCGTCGTTGGTAACGCTTCCCGGATCTGGTAGCCATGATACGTATCTTGAAAGCTGCTTGGTGTTCCTGTCGGCAAATAGATCCACGTCGTTTTCTCCCAGGTACTGTTGTAACTCTTGGAATATCTTGGGCTGTATCATCCAATTGTTCTTGAGGTATGGGCGCCGTGATTCGTAGTCTGCGATTGTGTTCCTCACTCCTTGCACATGAGTGGACTGTATCGTAATTCCTCGTTGTAGACACCACTTCCACAGGCTTGTTGCTAATTTCATTAATGGTAATGACTTCGTTCCCCCTTGCTTGTTCATGTAGGACATCGATGTTGTGTTGTCTGTTCGTATCAGAATCCTCATGTTGTTCAGTTGCGGGAATGTTTGTAACGCAAGAAACGCCGCTTTCAACTCCCTCCAGTTGATCGACATGCTGGCTTCCTCGTACGTCCAATGTCCAAATGCGGTTCTGCTCTGCTGATTTGTTAGTTTCATGCTGCATCCCCAACCCGTGTTGCTGGCATCTACGTATATGGTCTGCTGTGGTGTTTGCGGTAGTATACTTTTCCCATTCCATAGATGTAGATTGGTTTTCCACCAACGTAACTCCTCGATGCATTCCCTTGGTATTACCTGTATCTTGTCCCAATCTCTCCATGAGTTTACACTCTGGTTCTTCATCCTCATCAAATGCTGAGTGTATAGACGAGCTGGTACCAGTGCAAATGTGGCTGCTTGTATTCTCATTGTCAAACTGTGAATTGTACGAGCCGATTGCAAAGGATTGTTCAATACTTGCTGTATGCTGCGTCGAAGATCTCTCAACTTCTTTCCTGGCAATTGGGCTGTCATTGTGTTTGTATTCAATACAAAGCCTAGATGCTCTATTGACTGCTGGGGCGTTAGACTGGACTTGTTGAAGTTGACTATCCATCCTAATGACGCTAGTTTCTGTAAAACCAATTGTGTTTGCTGTGCTGCTTGTTCTGCTGAGCTGGCAATGATGATCCAATCGTCCAAGTATGCACTTATTCTGATTTGTTGATTCCTTGCCCATTCCAAAATAGGCTTGGTCAGTTTGGTGAAGAGCCACGGTACCAGCGAGAGGCCAAATGGGGCTGTACAGAATTGGTAGGTTCTCCCTTGCCATTGCATGCGAAGGTACTGACGTGAATCTGGATGAATTGGTATATGTAGAAATGCATCTGATAGGTCTATTGATGTTAGAAAATCTGATTTCTTTATTAACTTTGTTACCTCCTGAAGCGTCTCCATTTTGAAATGGGGAGCCTGGATGTATTGATTTAATTGTTTCAAATTGAATACTGGGCGTGAGCCCCCGTTTTTCTTGGGAATTACAAATAAATTGCTGTAAAATCCTGGTGTCATTGGCTGGTGCACTAATTCTATCGCACCTTTCTGTAGCAATTTGTGTATTTCCTGGCTTATTAATTGTTGTTGTTGCTGATTGTACGGGATAATTGGCGTGGGATTTTGGCGTAGAGGTGGTGGGAAAATAAATTGAATTTCTAGTCCGAGTTTGATGGTTTTCAGCAGCCATTCGTCTGTTGAAAGTGTGGTCCACTCGGTATAGAACTGGCTGAGACGACCTCCTACTCGCTGCTCGATATCCTTTACTGTTGATTCCTGACAAAAGAGTTGGTGTTGGAGTTTCCCTTTGGTCTGGTGCTGTTGTCGTATTTGGGTACGATCCACTTAAAGAATAATTAAGCAAATCGTTTAAATAAATAAACTATGAAATTAAAACAACCTTTGATGTTGCATATCAGCATACGCTTGTATACTGCTATACAACTTCTCCTACTTCGAGTACATACTTCTATATAAAAGATTGCATGATTGGCCTAAATACGATATACGAATGACAGTTGGATACAGAATGCTATACCACTGAGTTACGATATCACCGATCGAGAAGAGAAACTTCTCAGATCAATCAAGAATTATAAGAAAGAGAAACTTAATATTAATAGTTCTCTCAATGGATTAGCTACCCAGAGAGAGAATAGAACAGCTATTAATATAAATGGTTCATTTACTTATATATTGATATAATTATACTGCTGATAAAGAGTATAAAGAAATAGTGTATGAATTAATGGATACCTAGCTTCTACAACCTAATATACAAATATCGATAAGACATTTTATATTTGGGATCGTAATTTATTCATTACAAAGATAATGAATAAATGATCAACTATTATGTTCTACTGCCAATTACACTTGACAAACAAGTATGCATCTTTTACAGTAACCGTTGCATGATCTGATAAATAAGTGTCTCGTAATACTAAAGATTTATTAGCATACTCATGCTCCCGATCCACTGATATGGGACAACGTTATCTGGAAACAATTCTAACGAGTAGTATCCATTTAACCCAAGGCGGGAAACAAAGTATAGATCTATTCCAAAACCAGAAAGGTTGACTCATCATTAAAACTCAGGAGAGTTGTGCAATATAAAAAGGATCAATTATTTCATAGCAGCACAGTTCTTTTAGTCTATTTTTACCTCTAATAAAAATATACTTTTATCTCATTACTTTTCTATGTAATATTTTGTCAAATACCACAGCTGTTTCTGCTGCTCCACATGGCGTTGTTGTTGCTGTGGTTGTTGTTGTTGTTGTTGTTGAGAAAACCGCCCTGTTGTGAGGACGGAGCCGGCCGAAAAAACTGCTGTGGTTGTTGTTGATATTGTTGATTGTTGTTGTTATTGCTCCACATGGTGTTGCTGTTGTTGGTATTGCTAAATTGTCGCTTTTTGTTACGCAGATTACTTGCTGATTTCATTGCTTGAGATGATGTAGTCTGTTGAGTTATAGCTTCTTGGAACTGAGCTGGAGACATAGTATAATTTGTACTGCTTGCATTAGTTGTTGTGAATGAGGGATTTATAGCTTGAAATGCAATTTTGTTACGTAGATCATTTACATTTGCTGATACATTTAGTAATAAGGATCTGCAATCACTAAGCATTTCTAGGTATCGCTGTACGTTTTGATTTTGAGTCTCGAGACTAAGCTCTAAACCCAATACATCCAGCGGACGAAAAACTCCAGAAATTAAGTACTGCAAACGCTTTAACGACATATCTTGTTTGGCCTGATATTTGTTCATTCTACGCGCGGCACTAGGTATAGATTCTGGTGGCTGATATTGAACGGTCTCGATGCCTGGATATTTATCGATTAATAAACGTCTTTCCTCATCCCGCATAGTTGTATCGGGAAATAATGAGCTATCCAACGATAACTTTTCAGTTAATAACGGTGATCGATTCCACGTGTATGAGGGTCTTATTTCAAGAGAATGTAGAACACCCTGCTGTTCCTCCATTCTATCTTCAGCCATTTGTTGCGTTGGTGGTGGCTGTGGCCCTGTTGTGCTTGTGATATCAATTGTTCTAATTGCATAATTCTTTGCTGCATAGCAGCTAATTCTTCGGAACTCATAATTGCGGTGCTGACCGAGCGAAAAAGAAGATCAATTATTATATGATAGTATTAGTTTAATTTTATTTGTAATTTTCGCTGACTTTAAATAAAGAAGATATAAAGCACAATCATATTTCTTATTTTGGATTTGAGTGTCTCAAGCAATTCTAGTAGAATTTATTCGACACTTGAATTTAAAAAAGATTATAATATCAATATCAGCGTTTTTTCTTTTATTTCTTTTTGTAATTTTTCAACATCTCTAATATTTCAAGAATAAATTAGTTGTTATTCACCGCCTGTAGTTGTATTATTGTGGGTTTTTTTTTTATAGTTTGAAAAACGTTAGAATAACCCTAATTATTGTTTATTATGCTAATTCCTAAAGCGTATTAAACTAGATTACTTTTGGGTTCAAAGCAATCGTACAGTAAAAATATTGATGTAACCGTTTTACCTATTTTTATCATACTTTTTTTTTTAAAAAAAGTGGGGGGGGGGGGTGATGCTTAAAAATGAAACTTATAACGTCGTAACATTTTTTTAGTAAATATCAGACAAGATTAGAAGTTTATACTACTCATATTTTGCCCCAATGACCTTGTATTTGCTCTTTAGCTGTTTTTAGTATTATTTATTCTTCTTTCACTACTTTATGACAAGTTGATTTAAAAAAATTATTGCTTACTCTTCTGTAAGACATACATATAAATATTACTTTATTAGGTTTATTTAATAACACAATTCAAGGAATTGAGGGATCGTTAATCCTTATGCTGCTCAGGGAGTAGTATCTCCTGCTTGTTTTATTTTGCTTTTTTCTTTTTTCTATTTTTTTCTATTTTTTTTTATTTATTTTAAAAGCTAAATTCACCAAATGTAGTTAAAACTGATGAAGGGACATCATTGTCAGTTCCCGAAAGATGGTTGTCGTGCACGATTGGTTTTTCTTCATTATTGTATGTAATAACTGCGCTTGATTGCTCCGTCCAGCTGTATGGTAATCTTGCGAAGTCTTTCCTGAGATGTAATTTTATTGCAACTCAAGGATTGCTTTTGATGAACCTTAAAATGCCTTCTTAAATTAGAGACTACCGAGAACTTTCGACCGCAATTAGGGCTGTAATACAGCGTGTTAAAACAACTCATTTTAATTATTTTTATAGAACTACCTTAGACACTGAAACGGCTTTTCAAGGCTATGTGTATATAAATGTGTTTCTAGAGCGCTTGGACGATTGAACTGCTTTGTACATTGACTGCAAAGGTATACTTTTTTGATTTTCGTATAATTTAAAATCGCCTTGAAATCTCCTTCGTTGTCTGGTTCTGGAGAAGTAGGGATATAGCTATTTTTTGAGATTATCGTTGCTGAGGTTTTACTTCTTGCATTACCAGCATTACTTTTAGATTGGGTGTAGCTGTAAGGTATGTTACAATCCGTTGGTGACGGCAGACAATATGGGGTCAAATTGTCAGATGTCATTATTGAAAGAAATGATAGAGGAAAAAGCAGTAGTAAAAAAACAAACGATTAAATACACAATTTTTTTATCGTAACACGGAAAATCATTTGACGAGGTGCGTAAAAAAAAATAGCTGTTAATGGCGTTGCTCGTAAAGTATCATAAGCATAATGAAAGACAATGAAATAAAATATTAGACTAAGGATTATTGAGCACACATACATACAGAAAATATTGTACCAGCGATTGAATGTTACAATCAAAGGAGGTTGTTGTGGTTGACTATTTGCGGTACTTAACATACACTGTTTTTTATTTTTAGAAAAAAACAAACTCCAAGGTAACCTTACTTCTATTGCTCCAGATTACCTTTCAGATTAAAATAGTTCCACATAATAACTTCACATATTTGTACTGCTTTTTTATTATTATTATTTTCTTCTCGTGCTTTTTCTATTTATCAAATTCCTTCGATTGTGCTCGTGACAATTCTTTTCTTTAAAAACCTTGACACATAGCCTGTCTTTTTCGATTACCTTTTTATCCGCAATTTACTACCGATCCACATTGGCAATTATACAAAGTGGCATGAGCGAAAGACTATGATCACTGGGTTCGGCACATGGCCACCAAACAGCCCTATTTAAGGAATTGCAGTGATTATGTATGGAAGACCTTATATTTGTGTAAGTAAGCGCTTATAGGTTGATTTAAACATCGAAAAGTTTGAGGTTATCGTTTCGGGACGAATGAGTGATACTTGATACATGGAAGCATTATTTTCTTAACAGCGTCTTTGATATCGTATTTGACGCCTAAATAAATCGAATACAATTATTGTCCAATCTGTATTGAGTCATAATATACTTCTATATTATAACAGACATAGTACTAGTCCTCATAATCTTCTACATGATCTGCAAGTACATTGCTAATCGCTCCTCTAGCAATGAGTGAATTGTCTAATATAATATTCTGTCATGTCGTAGCTGAGAAAATTGAGTTTCCTAGCTATTCAAAAAAATCTTCTTACTGTCAAATTCATTCTTTGGCTCATAATGATAAGGTTTTATGATGATCTATTTCAGCTTTGCTAATTTAAAAAAGGCCAACATCTATTACCATGACTTTGAGAGTAAAACTGTCTCACAAAATTAAAGGCTTACTCGTATTAACAGTAGCGTAGAGGACTTTTTAAGACTGATCTCCTTCTTTCCGTCAACTCTCTCATCAACTAAAAGAATTTTTTAGACGGATGGTTGGTCGTCAGCTTACAGTTTCTAACCATGGATCCGCTTCCTATGACAAGGCGCTTACCGTCGATTAAATAGCTACGTCATCCTTAGTTTGATCAGCTTGAGAGAGTTGACTAAGGGTCTTCCATCGTAAAAAGTTATTTAGGCTGCGCAAAAGACCCCCGTTATGGCTTTTTTCGAGAGTTTTTGTCTTCATACAAAATCATCTGAAAACACGCTAACCAATCATACCGCCTCCCTCATCTGCGCAGGCCGTAGCCTACCAACTATTTTTAAAAAATGATTTTATAAAACAATAATTAATCCTTATGTCCAATCATGGACCAAATAGTTTGCACATTAAGGGTATTCAATTGCCGTTGTAACGGCTTAGTTTTGGAGTGATACAAAATCAACCGTCAACCTTATTCCAACGTACATTTCATACCCTTCACTATGAATGCTTTTATTTCTTAAATTTAATAAACCAGAGTTTGTTCTTTTGCTAAGATTTACATATTATCTTATAGTATGGTGCTCACTTCTTTTTCCAGTTGGAAGAAGAAATCATTCAATCATAAAATTTCTTCTCGAAAAAACTTTGTGACATAAAAAAAAACGCTTTTCTTAGGGACAGCCAATTTTTCCTTAGGGACAGCCAAAGTGCACGTAGTCGCAACGTAAGATCTATGGTTTGGATGTTCTGTAGACATGGGAACAAGGATATACAATCAAAGACAATGTAAAAATTACAAATAAATGTACATCATACGATTTATACTTATTTTGACAATTCTATTATCACTCTTTCGCCTTTGAGCTCGTTTGAATTAAATCTTACGCAGAAATATTAATGTTAAGTCCAAACGAGAAGCTGAAAGTTAGCTTTAAAATACATATACTGGTTTAAACTATGTTAGTTGTGATAAATGTGTATACATTTCAAGTTATTAAGTTCTATTGACCTCTTGATATCTATAAAAGTATCATAATCCCAACATTACGACTACGTGCACCTGGCTGTCCCTAAGAAAAATGGCTGTCCCTAAGAAAAATGGCTGTCCCTAAGAAAATTTGGCTGTCCCTAAGAGACCCGAAAAAAAAAATATGATTTTACACCTCAAAATACGATTTATCAAAAATAAGGCAATTAAATAACTTTGTTTTATGCTATGACTATTTTTGAGAACTGTTCGATGGTGTATAACACATCCAAGCCAAGTTAAAGTCTTTGACTTTTAGCATAATCGCACTGTTATGATCCCTGTGAAAGCTGCGAGAAGTGATCGGTATGGATTTCCCTAAAAAGTAAATACGAAGATGCGCGCAGCTAAAAGAAACTTTAACCTTAAAAAAGGTTGGTAATAAATTTATCAGCAAAATAGATTCTTCAAGTTTGTTCGAGAAATGCGTCCCGCGATATGCTGACATTCAAAAAATAACTGATCCAACAGCTTGGCTTAATTAAAAAACTTCAATAAACGTATCTTTTTGAAAAGGATTAATTTGGATAGAAATAGCTCTACAAGACATTGTGATTTAACTTTGCTTAATTTAACAATAGAAAAATAAGCCAAAAAAAAAAAAAAAAAAAAAAAAAATTTTTTTTCAATCCAGCAAGTTAAAAATTGGGTTAGTAAGGAATTATAACCTGTTTTATTTCTTAATAATCTTTAAAACCAAACGTGAAACATGTCCATTACTATGATATTTTAATTAAATACATTCTAACTCACCGTGTTTCTTTACAATGTGAATCTTCTTTTATTTTTATATGTTTAATTTTATGTTTAGATGTGTAAAAAAAGGAAAAAAATATATATATACATAGGAAGTTGTAAATTCGTGGTGGTACATTATTACCACCGATGGTACAATTTCACGTCCGGAAGTTCAAAAATTCAACCGGTGGTACATTTTTACCACCTAGTGCGCCGCTGTGATATTTGAGATTCAATCGCGAACTTGGCAGAACACGACCTTTTTTTAATGCCAATTAATCAATTCTTGTCTCGCTACCCACCCCTCTTTTTTTTGCATTAACGCAACTGTTGTCATTACATTGTTTCGATTTGAAATGCCCTTTATTCTCTCTTTTTTTATAGCGGCCACTAGACAGCTTTTCCGCACGTTATAGGTTTAAGCAAGAATGTCAATCCATAGTACCGCGCAATCAGACACACACACAGAGACAAACGTTGTATTCAAGTAGGTAAAGCAAATATACAGTGTATATACGTACATAAATATGTAATGTAGTCTACTGCTACTGTGCTTATTTTCTGAATGCCTCTATTTGCAAAGTTGAACTTGAGATTCACTGCTCAAACTTTACTCACATTGTAAAGGTCAACCACCACTCTTCTTTTTCAAAAAATTACTTGATTTTACAACCTTAATACTCTATGGTTTATTTAATGCATGATCCGCAACATCTGTCAGATCGCGAATTTGACACAATTGTCACACAGATATTACCATCATTTACTATTCCGATTACATCATGTTGGACCAATAAAAAAAAGGCACGCCTTTCACAATAGCGTGTTCTTTTATCAAGTACATAAAAAAGTTCCTCTTTTTTGTTTTTTTCTTCTTCTTTGGGTGTCCAATGAGTAATTACCGAGTCCTTTTCAAGTTCACTACATTAATAGGACAGGAGACGAGTCTTTGAACACTGGGTTATACCGTAAGTTCTTTTACATTGTTGTCATCACTTGCTAATTATATACCTCCAAGACAGTTTTCCTTTTTTTTATTATGTGGCCGAGGCATGTGTCACTGGAATATAAACGCTACTTGAAGACCAAAGTAACGGTACGTACGTTATTCCCGGTTTTATTAAGTCATGTATTCTTTACTTACATTCTCATGGGCATAGGCTTGGTTTGGACATGGACTTTATTATTTATACATTGCCCAGGTAAGAGCACCCGCTTGTCCAGTTTTGTTTCATGTACTGACAAAAAAAAAAAAAAAAAAAAAAATTCAGAGCCCTTTCACGGAATCAACATGACGGGTGGCAACATGAAGGTGTAGGAGCTAAATGTAGTGTAAACGAGAGAGAGAGAAAAAAAAGAGGATACGTGTGGGATCCAGTTTACGGCAAAAACATAACCTCTCATTATAATCCCCTTGATGACGATTTAGAGTGGATATAGAGACAATACGGTACGAGACCCAGTCAATGTCAGCCAGGTGATACACCCTTTTGTAAGAGTACAAGGACAAGGACGATCCAGCACAAGGAGAGTATGATTACAACGGCAATAGTAAAGTGAATGGCTGTGATCATCCATTATTTAAATTTATTATGAGGATGACATGATACGATATAGCAACGACGATTCATAAAGGGACAAGAGCGACATGTTGCAGCGAAGGATGACAAAGGGATACGAGACAAGGACAGCTCTTTTCTATAGTGATTAGTGAAATAATATACGCTTGTATACATCATGTCAAGGCGATACAATTGAAGCATTTTCTGATATTCATGTCATTCGAGGTACCATCATCTGGCGCGACCAAAATAATAAGGGGATTTATCCAAAATGACGCTATTTAAAGTTTATACTGAAAGGAGATATTCCGGATGTTTGTGCACAGACGATCATGGAAAATAAGGGGGGGGGGGGGGTTGTTTAAAAAACGTTCCTGGGAAGCAAAAAAAAGAAAAAAAAAAAGAAAAAAAAAGAAACAACAATCAATTTATGGATACGATATCTGCCGGTACGATAGATTTTATACTACATTTGGACCTTTGGTAACGAAAGGGGAAAAAGAATAAAGTTTTTGTTGTCCCCTTGCATACGATCAATGTCGATTCTATATACATGAGTCTGTGTGTGTGTGTGTGTGTTACAGGAGATGATGTGGAATCTCTTTTAAATTATAATGAATAAATTTATTTTTTTATAAACGATCAGCAGCATGCGGTCAAGTGTATATAAAAGAGAGATATTTTGATGGAAAGAAAAGAATAAAAAATCATCTTCAAATGAACAGCTGCAACAAGACCTCTGCCTCTATTAACGCTATGAAGCTCGCCACCTCCGTCACCACCACCACTTTCAGCAGCAGATAACAAGGAGGATTTTTTTTTGAAGGGCACTATGAATATATATATATATATATATATATATATATACCAGAAGACTAAAATCAATCGTTTTTTTTTTATAATAGAGATCAATGGACAGGCCTGTTCTACACCTGGTTACGCTCGAAACAATTTAAAAATACGCCCATTGGCAAAAGGGTGATTGTTATCAGTAAAGGGCCTATCCCCAAAGTCATCGAAAAATCTATTCTGTAATAAGAAACACATGGAGCGCCCAATTCATTCTATTCTTTTAAATTAAAAAATACATGCATCTGTTTCCAAATGACTCATTTTTCCTATTGTAAAATAAATTAAAAAAGTAGCCACTGATTTTTTATATATGGATGAATCCTTTCCATACGTGATGCTAGTAATTGTGTTTCTTTTTTTTTTATAAAAGACAGTAGGGTATAGGATAAAGAGACTGTATATTTATAATGGTGCTCCATCTCCTTATTCATTGTCCATGTAAATGAAAGTGATACCACCTAGATTAACGCCAACCGATGACACACGTACATCCATAGCAACACTCTGACTCTTTAAAAATAATCAATCCACTTGTATCCCTTCTCACTCATTCCAATAACTGCCTCGGTGATGTCAAGTATCCATCCGAAATAGTGTCCATCGTATCCACCTTTCTTCAAGAAATAAAAAAACCCTTTTCCCCTAGAAACTTTGGCACTTCAAAATTTATTCTTTAATGTCTTTGACGGAAGCCTCATCTTGGGGAGTCTTGGGTGGGTCGACTTTAAGGCCTCCTAAAATACCCGCGTCCATACCCGCGTTTTTAAAAATCTCCCTGTAATGATCGGGATCTAATAAAACGACAATTTTTTCTAAGTAAGTTCATCCTTTACACTGGTGGAGGTATTGCTTACAGGTTTCGATGATATCAAGCAAGATGAGGGATAATTCTTTTGTTTGTTCGGCTTGCATTTTGTTTAATAAAGTGATCGAAAGAGAGGGAAAAGATTTTTTCAACAAGGGACAGAGTCACGAATACTTTATACTCTGTGATTGACAGTGCCAAGAGTGATACAGAGATCTAGTATGATTACTATCAATGGACGTGTGTATGGAAACAAGGAAATATAAAGAAGGAATATAAATTTTATGCATTATTTTATTCTGAATGAATATATGATGGTGGTGGAGACACACACACAAAAAAAAAAAAAAAAGAAGGACTGGCATCATTTCACGATGGTATTGTCCAGCTTGTAACCTGGTTGACAAAGTTTACATAGACCTCATGGTTATGTTCAGCGGACCAACGTAATCTCCAATAAGATGGTAAACCTCGTTCCAACAAATTCATTACGTCACGAATGGTGACTCCTCCATTATGTCTGGGAATGATGGTATCAGGGAATTCATCTTTGAGAGAAACTTGTTTTAAATGGACGTTAGTTCTTTTTTGTTTGTATGAATGTATACCACACTATCTTAACGTCAGAAGAAGACATGAAAATGAATTGTGAATAAAGAAAAAGAAGTAACGTGAATAAAGATAAAGAAGTTGGGTGAGGAAAAAAAAAAGATGGGTGTTTATGTGATTGTAAACAAGTTTAATGGCTATTTTTATACAAATGAATGCGGGATAACAAGCACTGAACAAGGGGATAAGATATGAACTGGATTGACAATGAAATGAGGCGAATCATGTAGCTGGTCTAGCATGTGTTACTAGAGTGTATGTTCCCACAATATACAAACAAAGCAACACCGACTGTTATGTTTTCTAATACAATGAATACAGGTATTTTGCGAGTGAATCATGACGAGGTTACGTTTATTTATTTTTTAGTAAGGAAAAAAAAAAGATGAAAAGGGATGAAAGCTATCGTACGATAAAGGCAAAAGAATGTATTTGTTGTGCCTTTTGATCTGTATATCGTGTAGCTGTTATACGTAAAGATGCAAAGAATTCTTTTTTTTTTTTTGAATCACACCATGAAAAAAAAATATGTACTCGTGTTAAAAGAAGCGCATGACAAGGAGAATAGCTTATTTTTGACAGGTCTATTTGAGCGTGTTGGGTGTTATTTTAAAAAAGAGATGCTCATTGTATTTTTGAAATCACTGAATATCACACGATCCATGTAGTTGATTCATGTTGTAAGAAATGCAAAAGAAGGCGTATACACGAGGCGAAAGAAAAAAGCAAAGCCTGTAGTGTATACAAGTGTGTTTTTTTAATAAAATAGTCCATTGCAAGACTGATGACAAAAGAAAAGAGAGAAATATAAATAGGTGATGTAAAAAAAAAAAGGTTGGTTTATTCTTGAGAATGATGGGGGAACATAACCTTGATCTATAATTAAACCGACGGGATGATCATCCGTTCCGGTTTTTGGGTTCCGTATCTAAATCTGGAAAGACCCCCCCCCCCAATTTTTTATCGTTGTCCTATTTTATCTTTTAATTCTTGTCAACATTTTTTTTTTTTTTTTTTACAAAACACGAATGATTATGCTTTTTTTTTCTTCTTGTTACCACTTTATACTGCCTACACAATAATAAGGCGTGATTCCTCCGTTTGGCTTTGAAGACACCAAGGTCTGCCATGAGGCATTAAGGGAGATGGGCCCTTTAGCCATTGCGGGCTGGGGGAAAAAAAGACAGAGGTAAATATATAGTGTACTCCAACATTTATATATATACACACACACACTAAAAAACATGGATGCATAGATGAGCTATCTCTGTCTTTTTTTTTTTCTTAAAAAGGCGGGAGCATAAGGGCAAGTGAATTTTTTTTAATGACTTGATAATTTTTGACGACGTTCCTTCATAATGACACTACTTCTTCTCTGGCTATTAGAAGAAAAACAAGACAAGCCGTTATGCCAATGCTGGTTTTCTTTGGAGGTCTGTGTTGTGAAACAGAAGCGAATCGGCGAGTGAAGGCCTAAAGACGAGACACAGTACAAAACGACATGGTCTCCTCTCCCTCAAATCCTTTCAATCACGCCACCCCATTGTCAAGTAGTTACAAAGACCAACAAGAACTCAATGGCACCAACTTGAACTGAAAACCTCAGTAATTTATATATGCCTTGTTGCCTTTTTTTTTTTTTTTGGGGGGACAGGTAAGAGTGCCTTTTTTTTTGAAATGAGTATACTTGCTAAACACTTTTATTTCAGCACTTGTACACGTCGTTGTAAAAGGGGTTGAGCTATGCTGACCCTCATGGCTCTGGGTAAGTAAGAGAGTCTTACTTTTGTTGCAATGGAACGTGCTAATGTTTATTTTTATGACTAGCAAAAGGAGAGTGGCTGTTGTCTCTTTTGGTGGGCGGTTCTTCTTTTCCCGGTTGAGCTGCTCCTTTGGGTATGAGCAAGTAAGAGTCTCTTTATTTCCATTGAATACACTTTTTTAATTATTTTTTTAATAGTACCTGTACAAGAGTACCTGTTGTCTTATGGGGCTTTCCCCTTTTTTCAAGTAAGAAAGTTTATTTATTTTTATTTTGCCATTGCAATGAACGTACTTGTTAACGTATACTTTTTTTATAAGCAGCAAACCATATGGTCCCCTTATTTCCCTCTCGGGAGCAAACTACTGGAAAAAAAAAGGGGGGGGGGGGACTTAAAAAAGGTGTTGTCTGGTTTAGACTCTCAACAAAAATGAACGCCATCTGCGGCAAAATGAAGACGTTGGCTTTGCTGCCATGGGTAATGTACTTGGTTTCCTGTGCATCCATTACACCAGATCAGACGGTACGCAGTCCAAGTGTATGCGTTGAAAAAAGTGAGTTTTCCAACAAGAATGAATGCAAAAAAAAAGAGTCGTGTTGCTGACGTTGTTTATTTACAGCAAAATTGGGATGAACAAAAGAGAGATACACATGGAGGAGACCTGTATGATCATGTTAAATAAAGGGATGATACTTTTTTTATTTAAAAAAAAAAGAAGAGTGAGCAGTGTCCTTTTTTTATTATTATTACTTGTGATTATTATTAGTGATGGAGATGACCATGTAGATACGAGAAATAAAAAAGATACATGACGTAAAGGAGGATCCGTGTGTAGACCATGGAAAGACTCTAGTATAAACAAGAGGATAAAGATGGAATGTGGATCAACTCATGCTATGAATGTGGACTGTGTAGAGATGATAGAATATGTGTACAACAGGATAATAAAAAAAAAAAGGGGGGGGGGGATCATGTCTGTTGTGATTATGATGTAATGGAGTGTATTCTATCATGGATGGATCTGTGCCTGGATCTTTGAATTCTTTTTTTTTGGTGTGTCATGTGGACGTAAGAGTATAAAAACAAGGCAAAAGAACAGTGTGATTTGTCTCTTTTTTTTTTCTTGGCATCGTACATATGACGCATACAGTCGTCTTTTTTTCTATGAAAAGGATAAAAAATTTATCAGAAAAGAATATAAAACAGTTTTTTTTATGAGAAAGGGCTCCCTCTTTCTTTCTTTTTTCTTTACACACCATATAAAAAGAATAGAGGTATTTTATATTGTCATTACAGGTAAGCATACCTTTTAAAAGAAGGAATAAACACTTCATTTTCTAATATAAAAAAAGGACTCTTTGACATAGCTGGAGAGAGTTACTGGCATGATGACGAAGAAAAAAAGGACTCTTCGACATGGCTCAAGAGAGGTACGGGCATGAAGAAGAGGAAGAAGTGAGAGTGTGGCATGAAGAAGAAGAAGAAAAAAAGGTGTTGCCTGGAGAAGAAGAAGAAGTTAAGATGGTGTGCCACGAGAAAGAGGAAGAAGAAAAGGTGTGGCTCTTGTCAAGTCGATGGGCCATCCTGTGTTGAAGGATGGCATGACGGGCTATCCTTGGCCTGCTCAAGAAGGCCAATTGGGCGTTGTAGCCGTAGGGCTTTACAAAGGCTGGCGGCAATCCACTTGCCAAGTCAGAGCCGAGACGTATATGGCCCAATAAAGTGATACCATGTGATGAGACTGATTTAATCTATCTTAGAAAACAACATACTGTAGTCAATCACCGTCCCATCGCCGACGGTGGGTTCGTTTTTAAAAAAAGCAATAATAATAAACACTATCTCAGCTTATTTTATTAAACCCTATTTTGTGTATTTCTTGTAATCTATTTTTAAAATAATGGTATATCTTTTTTTAAAGGAAATCATGTCGTATTTGAATTGTGTTTGCATGCGTTCCGTATGAATGTGCTTGTGGATGTGCTGATATATTAGTGTGGGGTAAAAGTGCAAAGGAGATCTTTTTTTTTTAAAAGGGCAAATAAACATGCACACAAAAGTACCCAATGCTGTAGTGAGGGTTGGTGTAGTTGTTGATACTGTTATTCTATGCCATACATACTTGAAAAAAGTAATAATAGCATCTCATGTCATCAAGACATGCTTGAGCCTTTTTTTATTTTTTTAAAGAAAAGAAATAAAATGGACTGCATGAGAATAAAAGAAAGAACAATGGCCTATTTGTATTGTGTGAAACAAAATGAAATCAAGTTTTATTTTTAAAGGCTTCCTTTTTAAATAAATACAAGAAATACAAGGTTTTTTTTAATACGCATATTGTATATTATTACACGGGATCTATGCCAACATTTACTTACACAATTTGTTTCCATTCTTTTTTTTTTAAAAAATAAAATAAAAACATGGGTATAATGCAAGTAAATATGAGTGCACTGTATATATCAATGAAATGACATGTTTCATCAGGTGCTGCTTGTATATCAAATGTACCATCTGCATATAAAGTTGGGGAATAGAAAATAAAAGATTTTTTTTCTCCCTTTTTTGAAATAAGCCTCTTTTTTTTTAAAAAAAAGGACATTTGCATGAATTAATTATGCATACTGTTATCGACACTGTGAAAAGAAGGAATAAGAAAGCAAAGGATAGATGTACTTGATGAACAAGTGTAGATGAAAGGTTTTTTTTTAAAGAAATAAAATAAACAATGTTTTGCACAAAAGCAACTGAATGTTTTTTTTGTTTGAAAAGGATGAATGAAGCAGGCCAAGACTATGATTGGGTAGGAAGAGAGATATGAATAATGACTCTATAAAAAAAAATAAAAGCGTCTGTTGCTATTGTCATGAAGAAAAAGAAAAGAAAATGATGAACATGAATATACGATAAAGAGAACAAATGTTATTAATGGAAGGTATCACAGTGGTGGATCTTACTGAGAGTCAGGATGAACGCAAAGTGCGAGAGGAGGAACAAGAAGAGGTCAAAATGTTCTATGAAGTTGATCTGGAACGGGTGTTTGGCTCTCAAAGTACAGCTCCTGAGGTAATTGAATTAAGTGATGATGATGTTATGGAAGACGCGTAGTTGCGTGGTGTGATTTATAAGCTGATCACCCGAATGCGTAAGAATACAACTGACGCTTACTTGACGGTGTTGGCCGATCGTGCTTCCTTGTTGGATGCGTTGACAAGACGAATCGGAACTGGTCAAGTCATGGGTAAAGGTACAAGACATGAAGGAATCCAAGGAATTCTCCTTTCCACTGTTGGCAGCGGATTTTATTTTGTTGTCAGTGTGCTTCATAGAATGAATTTTGGAGAGAGAGATGTGTGGATTGGATGTAAAAGTAGGTCAAGAAGCTCTTTATAAACATGACATTTTGAAATGGGTAGTTACAATATCGTATGGTGAGTAAATTCAATCATTACACTAGGTATAGATTGTTGTTTTTGAATAACCAAGGTGACAACCTTTTTTTAGATGGATGTGTACTCTCAATACATGCTTTTAAAAAAGAACAACAGATGAAGTGCATAGATTACACGTACAAGGGAGTGAAAAAAAAGTATTCTTTCCTCTGTTCCATTATTTGTTTCAATGGTTGTGTTTAAACATGTTTTGTAATGCAAAGAATGGGAAAGGCGAATCATAAAGCAAGAATGAAAGGTTATGGAGTAAAGTACAAAGACAAGAGTGTGTATATAAACCCCCCCCCCCGCTCAGTCATAGTGGTAGCGTATAAAGAAACAAGACTATGAAGATATTAAATGAAATTACTTGCAATACTTGCAAAACGAAGAGAATAACATGTTTCACGAATGAGGTCCTGGTGACGAGTATGCGGCTTTAATGGGAGCGCAAAACATTGTCGATTACACCACATCATTTACCAATATGGGTTTCACATTGACAGAAAATTCAAAGAATCCGCGTATTTTGAAGAATATTTTTTGCATGATGATGAACATCATGTATGATGAAATAATCCGTCGACTCGTTTATGGAGGGTCAGATGCAAGAAGACTCATGATTGCTAATGGAATTCCCGAAGACAATTTCATGAGAAACCTGAACCGAGTTGAGCAAGTAGAACCTATCCATGAAGAGATACAAGACATGAAGGAATCCAAGGAATTCTCCTTTCCCACTGTCGGCAGCGGATTTTATTTTGTTGTCAGTGTACTTTACAGAATGAATTCTTAAGAGGGAGATGAGTGGATATCATGTAAGAGTAGCCCAAGAACTCCTTTATGAACATGTTGTTTTGAAATGGGTACTTGGAATATGATTTGGTGCGCAAATTCAATCATTACACTAGGTATGGATTGATTTTTTAGGAATAACCAAGGTAACAACATTTGATGATTAGTAGAGTAAAGGGTAACACATGGGATGGAATACTAAATAAAAAAAAATCAAACATGAGCAAGTCATGTGAAGTGTAGTCTTGTAAATTAAAAATGTAGACGAGACATGAAAAACAAGATTAAATCCGATGCAATGAAGAGGCATGGGAAGAAATACAATGTAATTGAATGTAACCAGATAGACTACAATTGAATTCAACTGGATAGGATGGATTGCCATGGAATACAATGGAATTTAATTTAATTCGATGGAATACAATAGAACATGACAGAGTTGGATGGAATTGAATTTAATCTGGCGGAATACGACAGAAGAGGATGTACATGACCAGAATAACATTGAATAAAATTGAATAGCATTGAATACCTTTGAATTGAATGTTGTTGAATGTAATTAGATGGTATTGAATGTACTTGCATGGAATTGGATGCCATTGGAGTGAATTGAGTGTAATTGGATGGCATTGAATGCTGCTGGATGGAATTCAGTGTAATTGCATGGAAAATGTAATTGGACGGAATTGAGTGTAATTAGATGGTATTGAATGCAATTGGGTGGAATTGAGTGTAATTGGATGTTACTTGACGTAATTGGATGGTACTTGATGTAATTGGATGGAATTGAGTGTAATTGCATGAAATTCAATGTAATTGAATGTAATTGAATGGAATTGAATGTAATCACATGGAATTGAATGGAAATGAATGGAATCCGATGAAATACGATGGAATAGGATTGCATACAATGGAATCAATCCGAATGAAATGGAATTGAATGAGATAGGAGGGATTACGATAGAGTATGATTGAATGCAATGGAATCAATCGGAATACAATCGAATGCAATGGAATTCATCGAAATGGAACAAAATAAGATGGAATTAAAAGGTACATGATGTAATTCAATGGATTAAATGAAAGCAAGCATCGTAAAACTTAATTGTGGTAAATTTACAATTTAGACCGGGACCGGAGGTTGCGGTCCAATCTTAGCTAATTACCTCTACCAGAGGTCCAAGTAACATTTAGACTTGGACCGCAAAATCAAAAAAAAACGCAAATGACATAAAACTTGTAAAAAATTGTTATATAAAGATAATATGTTATATTGGAAGTTGTGTTATGAAAAAAAATGATAAATATGTTCCTTGGTGATGGCAAAGATGATGTTTGAAGAAAATACTGTTATTTTGTGTGACATAATGAAGCGATAATTTATTTTTCGGATGTTGAAAAGCCTTTACTACATTCAAAAAAAAAAGAAAAAAAATAGCTCTTTACTCCAGAGTCCCAATCTTTCCGGCAGAACTTGACATGTCTTTCGCAAACGCATCACCAGTTTTGATGACATACTTGTATGCTGAATTGTCTGAGGAATTCAGCAATCCAACAGAAGATACAATATCCCTGGCGTCAAATACAACGAATTTTTGCTCGCTATCACCAAAGAGCTGAATCCGTGGGATAGACTTTGAGATAGGAGACACGCCATGTGTTTTTGCCAATTCACCATACGCATAATGGGACCCTGGTTCATTGGCGGAGAATTGGAAACGGAAAAAGAACAGAATCTTACAAACGAACCAGTTTTTAACTGGCACGAATAGACTAAATTTGAAGAGTGTCAATAAATGCAATAGGGCGATAGCAAAAACATATACTTACTTGTTCTTGTGTATCGCTTCGAACATGACGAATTCACCACCACGAGAGCATGACCTATTCTTCTTCTTGTACAACTCCGAAATGTAGACTTGATTTTCATGGAATAACCTTGTCGAAATTCGAAGGTGTTGTTGTTGATGAAACGGCAATACAACTCGTTGCCTCATGCCAGTCAGCCTTGTCATACAACCCATCAACGCACGACACCAAGGGATTGTGCGATACAGACCACAAATGAGGACATCCGAAGAACCCTGCAAGAGCACACCAACCTTAGTAAAAGAATCATCAAAAGGGGACCAGAGTTGAGGATAGGTGGCATCTTGAGGATGCTGCTCGAAGTTCTTCTCGTTGCTGTCAGGGGATGCCGTTAACGCAGAGAAGTCAAAAATACCGGATGCATTGAAGAATTTAAATATTTCCTTGGTTTCCATAATGTTGCCAGCATTAATACCAGGATGAAGAGAAGACCGGATACGTTTTTTGTATGTACCAATCGACCGTTCAAGGGACCTAGCAGAATAACACCGCAATGGACTATAGAAGTTGGTTAGTATATGATCGAATAAGGATTAAGTAATTAGTAGCTTACCCCATTCTTCGGATCATGTAAGGTATGTGGTGAAGCTGATGGAGAGTTTATCTGTGCCTGGTACGGATTCTGTCCAATCTCCCCACCCCTCTCCCTCTCCATCTCCTCGCCTGTCTGCATCTGTCTGCTTGTCACCTGCTTCTTCACCTCCACCCCCTGAGCCATCTACTTCGTCTTCAAAGATTGACCAAAGAGCTGAAAAAAGGGCCGCAAAAAAGGCAGCAGCCAAACGGGCAAGGGATGAGTTGATAATAGAAGGACGCTCTCGTAGCAAAACTAAGCCTTAATCCGCATTGGGTTTTAATTTTTTTGTTAAGTAATCTAGTTTTTTTTTTTTTTTTTTTTTTCTTTCCTTTCTTTTTCTAAAACTTTTTTTTTTTTCAAAAATTATAGTAAGTACCTCAAAACATCACATCCTCATATAACTAACTGAAAAGCTATTAGATATATTGTTATATATCGTACTGGCTTTTATGGCTTAACTTACCACTGCATTCTTTCGCGTACATGGTTGCTGTCCACTCTAAATACATGATTGTCACCTAAAGCGAGTAAGCCTTTTTTAAAATACTGAAAACCGTGTTTATATATTTTAACTCTATTTTATAGTTGTTTACAGCTCAGCTAAGGGTACTTCATGTGATTGTCAACTACAATGTGAGTATCAAAGGTAAGTCATATATCTAGCTTGTTATCACTTCTGCATCTGGTAGTCTCCGTATGCAACCAGGACAACCAACACTATATTATGTATGGTATCTGTTTGTTGTCATCCTCACACTACACAGTATCCATTTAAACAGGCGTTTCGTAGTTTTTATACGTGTATAAACCATTCATAAATTATTTCGTTATAAAATAAAAACCAATATTGTTACAAATCAATTACTTCTGATTTGATAAAAAAAAATATAAAGTATATAAAAAAAACAATGGTACGATAGGTACGATTATAAGTCCTTGTTACTTTATTTGACTGAAGTTTTAACTATGAAATAATGGGGTCTATTTATACTCTTTTGAAAGCTGACTGTTATTAGAATTGCTAGTCCATAAATTTATCTTGACTGTTGAATTCTACATGAATTCAAGGGTACGCTTGTCGCCGACAGATTGCTTCAATGATTTCTAATAATATTTTCTATCGGCTCTTCCATTGTATTCAATGTGTCAGAGTTCCAAATTTGGACAATTTATATAAATTTGGATTACCGATGATTTTTATTGTATGTGCGTTTAGCACATGTCCTCCCTCTAGATTCAACGTTAGTTGATCGATGATAGGTATGCTTCCTATTTCAGCATTTTTCATAGTATGTCCTCATCCTAGCTACATGATTTTTTTGTATGCATATTTTTGTGACTTGTTCCTGTGGGTATATCTATTTACATATATTTTTTTTTTTTTTAAACAAATTTATCTATCTCGATTGCTACGTCTTTTCTTAGCGGGAAGTTCTTTATGTATTGTCTCCTTATTAGATCTTGTATTTCTTTTGTTATCAGTTATAATCTTTGTATGCTTTTCTTGTCGTTTGCTAACTTTCTCTGAGCGTTGAACTAACTCATTCTTTCTTTCTTGTTCTAGTCTTTCAAGCTCACGTACTTTTACCCAATATTTGCGGATCGTGTCTGGCGATGAGAATGCTGATGCTTGTAACCATGAGTTCTCTCGCTCTCCGTAACCTTTCCACTTTACTAAATATTCGCGATTGCCTTCTTTGTCTTCTCTGTGATCACGAATCTCGTCAACTTCGAATAACTCGTCTTCTATTCCTGACTCGTCAATATTTACAATTTTCAACTCTGACGGAACATAATCACGATGTAACAACTCGTTCATTTCATCCTTCAATACATAAGTGCCACCCATTGTCTTTCGTACAACTGTAAATGGTCCCTCGTATAGCGGTGATAACTTGGTTGCTCTATTTGGTAACTTTACCATAACGGTTGTGTCGTTAGGAATGTCAATGAGGTAATGCTTTTTGTTAAACTTCTTACTTTGTTCCTCAACTATTTTTCGTGTTCTTTCTTCAATAGCGGGAAATACAACCGATGCCATTATTTCAGCTCGTTTGATCAAATCCTCTTCTGTCGCCAATTTTCTTGGGATTGTTCTGGACGGATCAGTGTAATCTTTGGGAGTTGTCAACTGTCTCGCATACATCAATGAAAATGGGCTACTAGCGGTTCGATTACGTATTTTATAATTGCAGCATAATTGTGCGATGGGTAACATTTCATCCCATTTATTCGTGTCATTGCCTAATAATTTGCGGAGTGTGGAAACGATCACCTTTACGGCATTTTCTGCTGCACCATTTCCCCTTGGATGATATGGTGTCGAAAAACGATGTTCAATACCTAATGCATTTGTGATCGAGTTCATCAAAGCATTCGAGAAATCGCGGCCGTTGTCTGTTACCCACATAAGATTTATTGGTATGCCATAGTCTCCTAATACATTCATTATCGCCTTTGCCACTGTGTTACTTTGTTTATTTTTCAGTGGTCTCGCAATTATATACTTGGTGCATAAGTCGACCATTACCAGGATATATATGTTATTATTCTCT